ACGTAGCTCATCTCCATCGGTCGATTGATAAACCTATATATATCACATACTTTAGTTACCCCCAGCGGCTAAAACAAGAACTGGCCCTAGCACCAGTCTTTTTCCCACTCCCATTCCCATTCCCATTCCTATTCCTATGCATATCCATGTCCCGGCATTGGCATTGGTGTGGCCCTGCGATATGCGCATTTGTTAAGTGAACTGTAAATACAATTCCACACACTGTGAGATGCGAGTGTTGGCGGAGAGCCGGAGCTAAGCATCAGTTTTCCACAGTGGCACCAATTTTCAATTTATGCGATACAAGCGATAACTCTTTGTTCCCCCAACTCAACCCCACTCGAGAGTGTCGTTGCGTTGCATGCAAAACGATGCTGCACCTTTGACGGCGCAAGCTACCCCGACTGTGTGCGTCTGCAGCGGCATGCTTCCTGCTCCAGCGGGGTGCGCAGACCTTGATCCAATTTAGACGCTACTTACACCCCTGCTGCCTCCGTTTGTTGCTGTTGTTGTTTTTGGGCGAGCGTCTGCATTAAAATAACATTTTTCTATTGGATTCAATACTTCAACTCTGACGGCGCCGTTCGGCATTTGGGCTAAGGGCAACTGGGGCCTGGGTGCCGGAATATATATTTTATTTCATGGGTGTTTAAATTTTAAAATAACAAGCGACGGCAGCGTCGTTCACTGACACGTGGCAATAAACAGGAGGAGGACAACGACAACGACACCAGGTGGGATGGGGTGTGGTCGGGGTCGGGGGGTTAAAGTGTAGCCGCTGGTGCCCATAAAGCTCATGTTACAAAACTTGGTGTTGTTGGTTTTTTACGTGGTGTGTTATTGTTGGGGCGACGGCGAGTGTATTTGTTTATTGGCCTCATTGCTGGCTTCTACAATTGCATTTGCCATGGGCAACTAAACATTTGGTCTCTCCATGCCTTTTTTTTGGCTGGAGTTACAAGCACTTGGCTTACATCTAATGCGACTTAAGCTTTATGGGTTTATGTAAATTATGCCCAAATGGCTGCGACTCAGCTTTTGGCAGGTGCCTGTGGAAAGATTTCTTTTTTTTTTGGGGTTTTTCTTCAGCTGCATGTCATTCCAAGTAGGCATCATATTTATTTCAAACAGCAACTTACGCTTCATATATCAAAGTTATTTTCCGGATCAGCTTCTACCTCTTCACATGATGTTTTTCAAAAAATTCGATTAGCTTAGATTACACTCTTCAAATTTGGTATATATCACGCTTTTTAAACTCGTTGACTGGATTTAATTACGCTTTAATTAATCAACAGTACACAACAAATAAATATAATTTTCTTGGAATTTAAAAACAGCAACATTTAATTAAATATGAATTATTTTATTATTATTATTGTTATAGTATTATTATTATTATTATTTTAATTATTATTTTCTTAATTTTTTAATTTTATTTGAACTAAACACAGTCCACAATTCAAATTATATAATTTATATAAAATTAACAGGAATGAATTAAGTTAAAATAAAAAACAAAAAAATTGTATGAATGGGTTAGTAAAATGTAAGATGGTCCAGCATTTATTGCAAGGATTGAGTACAGACAGAAAAAACTATTTACAGTTCACAAATTTTAATGGATTTAAGAAATATAAAATACATATTTGAAATATAACAAAAAATTAAAGTTTCTTACTAAATTCGAATTTAATATGTAATATATAAAATACAGAATATCGTGGGTATTCAAATGTATAATGGTTCAACACTACTAATGTAAAGTTATACTGTTTTTACAAAATATAGGTGGATTCCACAGTGTGAGTAAAACCCATTGTCAGGGTGTTTTCCAAAAGCTTGTTAATCATAGATTTAATTTAATAAAATTTTGCATGGTGACAAAAGCAGCGAGTGTGTTGATATGTTGTGAAACGCGTACCTTGCTCCTTCCTTATTATCCTTACTCGCTCTATCGCGACATGTAAAATATGGCACAAAACCCTGTTTGCGAATGTTTTGTTTGACGGCGTTGATTTGAAATAAGCTTCAGTTACAGAAGATTGCCTACGCTTGAGAGTCAGGCCGTGGTAAGCGTTTGAGAAATGGCAAGTAGCATTTCTTTCGCACTTTTGTTGACTGAGCGACCTTTTATGTAAATTAAGCAGCCATATGCATTCGCTTGTAAATCCGCAGCTGTTGTCAGTCGCAGTGGCCATTAGTTAGACGAAGCTGGGCCAGAAGTGCCCATTGCTGGTGCTACTCCCCTTCTTACCCACTCTCAAGACCATTAAATGCAACAGCTCAAAGTTTGTTGAATGCTACATCTTTGCCTCGCTAGGTTTCCTCCTGACTGACTCCTGTGGGACAGAGTCGAGGTGGTGGATTCTCTTTCTCTATCCAGCGCCCGGAAATGCTTGCACAATGCCAAATGCCGACACGCGCAGAGGATTTGCTGTCACTGACACCCTCATCCACATTCCCCTCCTCACTCAAATGGGTGGGGGCAGGGCGGAGTCCAAGACTCAGCTGCAGCAACCTCCCTCGAGATACTCTACGCGTTGCATAATTATCAATGTGCGCACTAATGAAGCCGGCGTAAAATATGACGAAGGACATGTGCCGGCTGTTCAGCTCACTCTCGATTTATAGGCCTAAACAACCAGCGAGTGGATCCAGAGTTCAATTTGCCGGCGTCTGCCAAAAAATTTGACGCTTTTACGCAATTTTTCTTGGCCCGTTATGTTTATTATTGTCTTAGCACGACGCATTGTCCAAGTCCACAGGGGAGGAAGGCCGGCTTCGGAACAGCCATGCATTATGCTTATTACTTAGCACTGCTAAACCCAATCCCAATCCCCATTCCGTACCCTTACCAAGATGGCGAGCTCTTAAATGTTTGCACACAAGAGCGTTTATAGTCGCAGCTTCCTGCTGTTTGCATTCATAATCCTAATGGAATTGATTTCGGTCCTGATCTCTGCACCGAATGGTCGGATAATGTAGGAAAATTGCCATTGCTGCGGTTAGTCAGGAAGCTGTCGCTGGTAGACAACCAAACAACCCACCCGCAAAACAAAATCTGACGACCATATGCCAAAAAGTTTTACTGCCTTCACTTTCTTTCTATCTTTCTGGGCAATAAATGAGTGCTTATAAATCAAACGAATGCTTATTATATTCATGCAGTTTTAATGAGTTTTCCATTCCTACTGCCGCCTGCTGGGCTGTGCTGAATGAGTGAGTCTGCTGGTTAAGAGCAGGAGACATTTAATGCGCCAGACAACGCATAATTGCTCATCCCTTTAGAGCCATGCGTTTCCCGCGGAGGTCATTGACTGGACGGTGCTGTGTCTTAGTCCTGCTTCGATCGATTTGTTGGTATATTGGAAATCGTTAAATCATCATTTTAGAATATCCACACTTCTATCACTTCGCTTGTTCAAATAGTTGTGGATGAGTTGCTCCTTGTTAGGGGAAATTTACAATATCCTCTATAATTAATACTTGAGTTAGTTAAACCAATAATATCTCTTATCGACTTAAATCCACTTCTATTACTATTCTATAAGCAAATTAAAATTATGTATTCTCTTAGCTAGTCTAACGGCCCTCTTGCAATCTTAGCGTTGCCTTACTTACCTTTCACTCTAACAATAAGAAACATTCCAAGCTGGCAGGCATCTCCTTAATTAACAGCTTCTCTTTGTATGCTTATGCAAGGAATTGAACTAACTATAACTATTTATTTAACAACCGAGCAACAGCAACACTCCAAGTAGAAATTACTGCTTACAATGCAAAGTTGGCAAAGAACATGGCTAAACACAATAATTTGCTTTTAATTTGGCATTTTGTAATTCAAATGAATGTCCAACGGGAATTCGGGATAATGTTGCGGGCAGGCCAATAACTTCACTTGAAATATGCATGCATGTTGATATCGTGGTGTAAGCGAGGCAAATGAAATTTCCAACGCCAGCTACGACATATCAATAAAAAGGGGTTTCTGCCACACACACACTACACACACACACACATATATATATATATGTATATATGTTCCCACCCCTATAAATAACAAGGGCCGAGGGAGACAACTCACATTTACGGCAATCGTCATTAGCAGCAGCCGAGCACAAAGCACCGACCAGCAAATATCAAATGAGTGTTGACTCCCCCTCCCTTGTCCTTTATCCACTCCCACTCCCACTCCCCCTCCCTATACCCATTCTAAATAAACGAGTGCGAGGATTCAACGTCATCCCATGTCATTCACTTGCGGTTTTCAGGGCTCGACACACATACAATATGTATGCAGCGAGCCTTGTAGGGATTCGGTTTCGTTTCGGGCATAACCAGAAATACTTTAGCCACATCAGGACTGCCTCTTGGTGACAATTGAAAATCCAATAAAGGTCGCTGTGTTTTGGTTCAACGGCCGGTCGGCTCCGGCTTGCTCCCCCTTAGCTGGGCTTTAGTATTTTAATTTAAACGAGGTTGCCGCCTAATCACAAAGCCAGCCCCCAAAAACCCCATGTCCCGACAAGAACGCATCCTGTGTGGCCAAAATATTGAAGTAATGAACTTGCTTTATGCCAGCACTGGGCATCCTCTGTGCGGCTATATCAAAATACCACTAAACTTGAATGTAGTTTGAGGCAACTTGTGGAAGGACTTGTGGCACTCGCACTTTGAGTTAATGGCACATAAATTTAGCTCTGTTCCCATAACTTTTGATTACTGGGGTGTGGCTAAGGAGGACGCCCAAAGGCAACATTTCTTCGTCTATGCTGGTTCATTTTGGCATGGTTTGATATTTTTGTTATTCCGCTGTTGACCAGTGAACAAATCTGATGTTATCTTCATACCATGAAAGCCAGGATTGAAGTGATTATAGTGTGCCTTAAATATTATTAATATAAAGTTATTTCTGTGAACTTGTAATAATATTAGTTAAAATCTTGTAGGTGGTATTCAAATATCCTAATAGATGTATATATATTTAATTGGGTCGGAGACGTCTTCTTCAAAGCGTTATATACAACATTACAATACGTATAACTTTTTGAATGTAATTTTTTGAGAGTTGTGAGCTTTAGGCTGCCCCCAAAAAGCTTGTTTTGCAAACGCCTAAATTTCCACACTTATTTACGTGTGCAACTGCTTGCGCCACATATGTAACATTCCACCATCATCTCAAAGAAACCATAGTTGGGAGAGGAGCGCACTGTTCGTAGCACAAGCATGAAATATTCCTGTATTTTGCTGCTCGTTTCAGAGTTCCACTCGGCATCTGCTTGGCGATTGTGCTGCGAGTTGATGATCAGCGAGAAGCAGCGCACCAGGATAAATACGTCCGCCACATTACCGGTGATGCTCAGCTGCATCCAGTCAATTAGCTTGACCATTTCGAAGACCTCACTGATAATATTAATATTGGTATTATTCCTTGGCATACCCGAGACCTTGGCGAATATGGCCAGCAGAATACTCATCGCAATCTGGCGACTGAAATCATTTTTAATAATGAGCATCGTCAGGGCCCGTTGCATTTGGACGACCCTTTCCACACGCTCCATGCCCGTGCCAATTACAAATCTGTCACATAGGACAGTGCCAATATATTCGATGCAATCGGGTGGCAAATCGATAGACAGTTTGCACACGGCATCCAACAACTCCGAACGGTAACCCATGCAATCTGTGTCCAGTGGCTTATACGACTGCATTAAGATACCAAGATGATAATGATCGATCAGTTCAGCCAGTGTCAACTCCTCTATTTCAAAAGTTGCGTCAATAAAACGCTGGAATAGTTGTGCGGTGCTGTGAGCAACCAAATCAACTGATTTGATGGTTGAACTAGCCAGAAAGCTCTTCAAATCATCCTCTGTGTAGCCCAGTTGTCGGGTCTTCTTTTCGGGTTGATCCACGGCGCACTGCTCCGCAAGCATTGAACTTAATTTATCCTCCTGTTCTTGATTACTCTGATCAGTGCTCTTGCTGTTGTTGCTATAATTATTTGCTGCTGCTGAAGTTGATGGAACTTTGCTGGACCGAGTCCGAGCGCATCGAATTTCTTATTCTTTTGCGTAACCTCAAATACTAGCAAAATGATTATTTCGTTTATTATTTATACTCGTTTTAGCTTAGAAAAGCCTACCCCAAATGAGAAAACCGATTTAAGTTTCCTGTCACACTGTTAAGAGCAACTTGAATTCAAACAACACAGTTGATTCAAAGCGGCTTACCCACGAGTAATTTTTGCTATTGGCGGAATCGATTTATTTGTACACCGTCTACAAGATATTATCTAATATATGGCCATGTCCGTCTGACCGAACTTTTTATGCGCAGAACTCCGTCGGCTTTGAAGCTTTTCTGATGAAACTTGGGATATATTCATATTTTGCCTTCGGTCACTCATGTTGCCGGTGACGACCGGCTGCATTATAAATAATCGGTCAATCTAATGGAATGTAGTTTAGGTAAGTGCTTTAATAGCAACTCCAGTAGCAGCTACGCAGAGCACAAATATGCGATTGCTATATCAATAGCACTAGCTGCTTTGTGCCTTCAGCTATTGCTACAACTACAGATAGCACAATGAATATTTGCTCTTGCTGCTGCTATTACTACTGCAATGCTGACTCTGCTTTTGCTCTGATAAAGTTTGTAGTAGTATCACTAGTAGTAGTACGTACTAGGATCACTAGAAAAATATATTTGAAGCTCTTAATATGTTATAAACTTATGTTATCGGAGAACTATTCCGCTTAACTGTCATAAGAAGAAGCGGTCAAAAGATTATATTGATATCTTCATATTGATATCTCAGCAAGTTGCCAGAAATTATCATTTTAAGCAATAAGTGCAGCTCGATTGTGTTTAGTCAAAGTCTGGGCCAGTTGGTCGGCCCATTGTGCTTGCTTAAATGTTTAGCAGATTTCCATTCATGGCAAAGAATCAAAAAAGGCCTCGATTGAAATGAGGAGGCAGCTGTCGTTCCACTCGCTTTGCTCCACTGCATTCATGTCACCATGTCCTTCAACAGCTTTTTGCCCAGTTGGAGACTCAGATTGGGCAGCTTGGTTCAACCGAAGCGTTGGGGAGGGGGTGGTGGGGTGTGGGTTTGGCAACTAACGAAGTCTCCCGGCAGCAACACCTACGCACTGGCAGCCACACAATGACAACACACCACAAAACAAGTGTCGAGCAGTTAAGTTTTTGCCCTAAAAAGGATGTGCGTGCGTGTGGCTGTGTGTGGATATGTGATTTGTGTGTGTGTGTGTGTGTGTGCGGCAGTAGTTACTGTTCCAGGCACTGGTGTCAAATGCAAATCCGGATGCGGAAATGCAGGCAGCCAGAGATGAAAGGGGCGACACACACGGCAGACAGACAGCAGTTTGGACATCAGAGCTGGCCAGTCAAGCGGGCAGACAAATCAGCTTTGCTTTTGCATACATACATACATTCATACACACATGTCCACACACACACACAAACACACACATGAACTGGTCGAAAGGACAGAGGCACAGATGAGTGATTTTTCGATTATCATTTGCACGCCTTGGGTGACAAATCAAATGCTCAGCAAGTGCATTGAAGCTTGGGCCAGGTCCTCTTCTGGGTTTGCCTGGTTGGCCAATCTATTGTTGTTGGTGTCATTTTTATGATTGTTGTTCTTGTTGTTCTCTCTCTGTGGAAGTGAGTTAGTTGGCTGCCTAAGTTTACAGGTGCTTACAAGCGGAGCCATTCAATCTGAGTGCTTGAGAGCAGGTATTGTGACGTTCATTGAAAGTTTGCACGAGGGAATTTGTACCTTGAATTCTTTTCGATAACCACAACTTAGCTGGAAGATAATCATTTTCATTTACTTACTATTTTACATTAACTTTATCGTAGTTCTTAAGTGTAGATAGGAAAAGGGTATGAGATGATATCAAATTGCAAACATTCTATTCGATATCAAGTTGTATTTATAATATGATGCATTTTTGGAATTTGCCTGCCGCTTGTCATTAGAATTTAATGTTAATAAATAGACTTAACAACTACCATTTGGAAAAATAAAGTCAAAATATTATATAGATAATATGAATAAATCCCTTAACTTCTCCGAACAATATATAATTTTCAAAATATCGGAAGAGAAGCTACTTACAAATAAGATATAATTAATTCTATAGAGCTTATTTGAGACTAGAAGAGAAGTATAGGCCACAACCTAAGTGAAGGGTAGATTTTAGGTAATTTATTTGTAACACAATTTCCCTCAACTTTGCTCTTCTTCATTCTAAACTCTATTTTATATCATGTACACTAATTAATTAATTATTAATTGCAAATGATTAATTTGCGGTTTGATTAGATTTCAGTATTGGTATTTCAATATAACCCCAAGCTGGCCACACTAACTGCAACATTCAAATACCAATTTATACTTATGCATAATGCCCCTTGGGTGAATTTCAAAGACATTTAGCTCTGTTCTGTTCTGTTCTGTTATGTTCTGGTTTGCATGCTTGTAGCTTAAGCCTAAATGTACGACAGGACGTATGAGCGTTATTAATGTGCTCTGCATAAATACAAAAGCAATTTATATGTGCATTTTGACAGTACACATATGCATATGTAAATGCGACTCTTCAAGTATGTGGCGTGTGTGTGAGAGTGTGTGTTTCTGTGTGTACTGTGTTTATTTTAATTACAAGCCTAGCATTGGAATGCTCCTGTTGCTCCTGAGCCAGCTCCTGGCTAGAATTGGTCCTTCTATTGTAACGAACCATTTTAATTGTAGCATGAACGCATTCCAAGGACAATGATTTTAGCTGATGGATTCTGTTGATTGTAGGCAGAGAGACGATTGACAAATTAAATTGCTTATTGATGAGTGGGATTCAAACTCTCTACGTATAGAATGGAATTTGCATACGTCGACTGCTCTCAGGCGTTATCATCCTCGTAGTCAAAATTTCGAAAATGAAATAAGTGCATAATGGAAATTCGTGAAAGCCAATCTGGTAATAATTTAAATTGAATATTTATGCTGTGCTTGCTTAAGTGTGAGCGTGTTTGAGTGTGTATTTGTGTGTGTTTAGTGTGTGTACAAGGGATGAGAATGAATCCACTTCATTCACAACCAACTGCAGGCATTGTGACGAGCTGTGAGGGCAGGGGAGATGAAGCGATTGCTCTGCATAGTACATTAGTTTTGAGTGCGCTGCCTATTTGCATATGTGTATTTGCCTTTTGCCAATAAATTTCTAAAATATAGACACACATACACACACACACACACACATGCCCAACATACACACACTCAAACCCAACTTCTAGCTCGTGGCGTATCAAAACTTAAACTGTCATAACACTGATGAGAGATCCATTTAAATTAGTGCTTTGTTTGTATTGCGTTAGGACCAGACAAATTTGATGAGTCTCTGTTTGTGTATCCAAGATCCACAGGACACATATACGTTCTTGTTATTTCCAATTGCCAAACTGACCAAAAACTGATGACACTCTACCTAAAATTGCATATGAACTCTGTCATGTATGAAAAGCACAACACAAATATTGGACTACAAATGACGCTGCAACAAATTACTCTAAACTATCTGAAAGTATTTTCAATTAATGCAATCTACAAGACTTTTGTAGATAAACTATTTCTAATATACACACGTGAAAGTCTATATAATAAAAATCAATGCATGTGTATAGTATAGACAAAAGTACAGACAAATGTATCTGCCTATAAATACAAACGAGCAGCAGTTGAGTCTAATCCAATAATACTCTTAAAAGTGTTGGCTAAAGGTAAGTTAAAAGGTATCACATAAAATACAGTTAAATAAGACTATTTTGTATACATTCTATATAATTCATGTGTTGCGAGTTATATCTTAAAGTGAAGACCACTTTGATGAATTCATTCATAAAAGACCCGCTTAAAAGAAGATTATTTCATAATATTCACAAGCTACAAAACCAAAGTTATTTCTATTGAAATTGACAACTAAAGCAGAATAAAGTTACCGAAGATTCCTATCAACATTATTCAACTCACATAAAAACTCAGTGGCCATTAATACACTCAGCAGCACGAAATCAATGACTAATCAATTGAAATATGCAGGAAAGCCAACACGTGCCGAGTTTCTCAGAGCCAAATTGTCAACTTATTTCAATGAGCACCTGACCCCAGCCTTTGGGGCAACTCAAATATCCATCAGCAGCTTAACACCTCGGAACCCTTAGAATCGGCTGCTGGAGCTGTTAGCTAACCAAGTTATAACTTCTGCTCCATTTACCATTGGCCCTATTAAGAATTCTAAGCAATTTCCTTATCAGCTTAAATCAAATCCTGGCCGCTAGAGATGCCGCCATGCAATAATAATTAGCATAGGGACAATGAACCGCTCAAAACTCATGGCCAACTTTATGTTCGAGTGGATGTGGAGGCACTCTAAAATTTATCATTTCCACAATTTGCTAAACCAGAGAACGTATTGCTGGCACTTATCAGCACCATCATCGTCGTCATCATCATCATCAACATCAACATCAAAATTATCATTGTCGGGTTGCTTTGTTGGCAGACGAATTCATAACTTTTGTGCATATTATTAAAATATGTAGGTCTGGACGCTGTGAATGAGTCCATCGGTGTCCTATGCTGTCCTGTCTGCGGCAATTGTTCGGCTGGAAGCAATCAAAAATGTTGATAAAATAATTTCAAATTCCATTTATATCCTTAAGGACAATTTGGCATTCACCGGTACTAATAATAATATCAACAGCACCGTCGTCGTCATCATCTTTGTTGTATTTGTTGTTGCTATTGTTGTTGCTGTTGGTGGATTCATCGATGTGGCATCATCAATGCTCGCTTTTGAACCTGTCCTGCGGCGCATTTGCTCTCGCTTCCTGGCATCGCTGGCGCTTTCGCAATTTGTCAGCAATTGAAATTCACCAAACATTTTTGAATTTGTTTGGCTGGCTACACTTTGGCCGCGATTTCAGCTTGTGCCTCGGGTTTGGGGTTTATGGTTTCATGGCTGCCCAGCAGGCACATTTTGCATTTCTCGGTGCCATTCATCGATTGCCTTGGCGTTTGTCCTCCTCTCTTTGTCGTTGGCGTAGTTGTCGTTGTTGTCGCTGTTGTCGTTGTTGTCATTGCATCTCGTTCGCTGCCGTTTGGCTGTAGCATGCCTCTTGCCTCTGTGGCAGGAACGGCACCCACTGTTTTGATTTTTATCCACAGCGTGAATATGCAAATTGGCAGTGGAACCAACGGCGACAGCCAGCAACAAGGCGAGCGACCTTCTGCAAGCTCCAATTGTTAGCTGAATTCTCAGCTCGATACTCTAAAACCTTTTTGGCCAAATGTTTTTCGGCCAATGGGAGCCAATCAAACTCACAGTCTGACAATGGAGCGAACAACATGATTTTTACCATCGGCCCAGGCATAGGCGAAGGCATTATGTGCCCCACAGCAATGTGCTCAAATTAGTGACGTTACTGAGCTTAAAAGCAATACAAATTTTGATGTTTAATCTAAATGGAAATTTTGAATTATGTTGAATTAAAGAATGGGTAAATTCGATTCAATAAATTCGTATATATAAAAAATATATAAGCTCAAATAACAAAATGTTGATATGAGACATTTTCTTTTAATTTATAATTTGGGCAGAAACAATAGCTACTCATAATTTCGACTACACACTATTTTTCCATGGAATTTGTTAACCAGATATGCCTTGTCTGTCGTTGCTTTTTGCTATATCACTGTGCTAGCCAGAAAAGACACTTCGGCTTTTAGCATATTCCACATGCTGTCTCAAGTCAGAAAAAGTACAGCGCGCTATCAAACAATTTCCAGCAGCGAGAGCAGTGAATAAAAACCAAAAAAAAAATAAAAATTCTGAAAGAATTCAATTGCATATTCAAGTTTTGCACTTGAAATTCACAGATTTGTATCGGTGCGCTCATATGAATACCCAAAGAGTTCCAGACCCGGTAGCGAACTCCACGGCACGGCTTCAGAGCCCCAGCCTCAGCTGGCAGCGTGGCAGCGTGGCAGCGTGGCAGGCAGAGCCAATCCCAGCACAAGCACGAGAAATCGAGAAACGGAAGCAGACGTGAAATCCGAAAGGAACCACAGGGTGTCTACCGTACAACAGGCGAGATAAATCTTTAGCCTTTGAACAAATGTTTGTGCATATTTGAACTTGCCAGACCAGGCAAACCAATTTTAAATTGGCAAGAGGTTAAGCCAAAAACTAACAACCAGGCGGGTGAGGTGCATAGTAAAGCATACAATCTGATGAAGGGAGAGTGGGCGAGTGGGCGGAGTATGCTTCAGTTTTCGAGGCTGCTACGTTAGTTGCATACATAATTAAGCGATATGCTATATTTGCCGGTCCTCGAATATTGTCTATACATAGTGGAATGCATTGATTTGATGAGTACTTATAATATTATAACAACGGTTGGCAAACGAACAACATGAAGCAGGTCTGAGAAGAGAAAAGTTAAGGAAAATAGCTCCTAAATTTTACAAAAATTTGAGTTTGAATAAACTAGAAATATACATTTTAATGTAAATATGTTCATGCAAGAAAAGGTTTAAACATATTATTATTATACCCCAGAAGATTTGAATTTGAGTCGTAAATTTATCGAGAATTGTGTAACGACGTCTTAGTTTTAAAGACATATGGAGGAAGAACAGAAGAACAATTGGTCGATATCAATTAACAATCGGTGGCAAGATATTCTGTCTAATCACAATAGCTACGCGTCTTATAATATTACTAAGATTTTTATAAACAAAATCTGCTACATCCAATAGCTCGAATAGGGACAATCAAACTATGGATCAGTCCTTATACAAACACCTTTTTTTATTTTTAATTAACAAAATAACTGCACAGAAGTCAATATTTACCCGGGTTTAATTACTTCCAATATTTGGGCACAAGATTTTCAAGATGAAACCACTTTATTATATACGAACAATCGGTCGGCTAATAGATTTTATAATACAATTAAGGTAGACGCCATAAGTGGAACAGTAAATGCAGAGAAAACTGTATCATACAAAAAGTCTGTCTGACAGTACATTAATTTGGTTAAACATAGATTAAATTTCGATAGAAAATTTATTTGCGATCATGAAAAGAAACTACCCACAGCGTACTTAATTTGTAAAACCGGAAAACTGTCCTTATTTTATTTATACTAATAATACGAAATACAATTTTCATTGATGAGGGAAGATTATAATTAACTCTAATGAAGCAATATTGCTGCTGTACGAGTTAATAATGCTCAAAAATATTTCGTGTGCCAATGAAGTGTTTTTGATATAATTGACTTATTAGATTTTATTATGTGTTTAAGCCTTTACACATTTTGTTATGATATTAAGGGTAATTAAAATACCTTTCCAATAAGCTACGAATGAATAGCAGTTTGGGTTGTGCTAATGATACCAAAGGCTTATTTAGTTATCTCTTACTAGGTGTTGTTCGTTTTATTTTATCCGGTAAAACCCAATTAAGTAGCTTCTTTGATTGCCATGGCTTTTCAGTATTCAGCTCAAATTAGCCGTTAATGGGAATCCTTTTCATGGACACATTTGTACTCCCCTGTTGTTTATTGGTTAAAGCATGCATGTATGTATGGATATACGAGTATGTGTGTGTGTGTGTGGCTGTGCTCGGACAGCTCGTTAAATTTCATTCACTTTGCTACGAAGGGACACAAAAATTGGCATAAAATGAGCTTTTTGTGTGCCAGAGAAAAGCCAAAAAAGAAAATGGTAAGCACATATGACCACGTTTCCTGTCCTGACATTGATGTTGCCGTTGTCACAGTCGCCATCGTCGTCGTCGTCATCGTCGTCATCGTCGTCGATATCTTCGTCATGCTCCGGCAGCATCATCATCATCATCGTAGTCATCATTAACAGTCAATCGAGTGAGCTCTTTTACTCGTTTGCCATTGACAAGGCCAAAAGAGTGGACACTGCCCGGATATCTGCCCGTTCGACAGCGTCCAATAATTCGCAGCTGTTGGACATACGGGAGATTGGCGCACATATGCAACTAATTGATATTATATGAATAATATGTTAAATACAAATGGGATGCAGATGCGATGATGAAAACAATGACAGCAGAAACCAATTGCCATTATATATGTGTAATCAAAATAATGAAAAAGAATTTTGTATAAGAGCCAATGGATTCGCCATAAAGCAGTAAGGGAAAAGAGCATTATAAAGATAAAAATGGGAATTTGCCTTACACATCGTAAATATAAATATCGTACATATACGAACATTGAAATAAATGGCATTCCTCATAAACAAGAGACTGACGGTTGATCATTGTACGGATGAAGCCAATAGTAGTGCTTTGTGATAAATAATCGGAAAATTATAATAAATTGGTTTGTGAAGTTTTTCCGTTTTCCATCCAATCAAGTCTAAAATCATTTTCAAATATCTAAAGAACAATTCATTGGGCTGACCATTTTCCATTAAGGTGTAAATACTTTGCTTTAAATTTTCTTAATTTTACATTTTAGTTTGAATTTAATATCATATAATTTGTAACTTTAAATTTCATTTTTACTTTTTAAAAACTGTGCACGTTCTTAGGCGACCTTAAAAAAATAAATTAGTAAAGGAAAAGATTCAACATTTGTTGGTTATTCAACAAGACTCTAAAATATCATGTCTTGCCAGGGCTTTTAAGGTAGAGTCCACCTAATTTGCATACTCCACTGTGTGACTGGCATTGTAAGGTTAGCAGTGGAGCAACCTTAAAAGTGCATTTACTGTAACTCCGCCACTTTGGCCACGTTAAATGCCAATTAGTTGCCATTTAGGAAACTTGGCACTCAGTTGCAGGCGAAAAGGCGCAAAGGCGAGCAGCCCCATGGTCCATGCTCATTAACAATGCCAATTGGAAAAGTCTTGCCCAATTCAAATCCAAATCCAAATCCAAATGCAAATCCAATCGGGCTACAATGACGCGTCTAATTAGTCAGGTTGAGTTGCGCCCCGACGGACAACGAAAATCCCAGGCACGTTTCAGTCGCCCAGTCGCTCAGTGGCCCAGTCGCCCAGTCGCTTGTCCAGTGTTACAAGGCTGCACACCCCGCTGTGGCACTCCGAGTGTTGTCGGCATTATAAAATATTTTCTCGGTGTAGCGTTCACATCGAGTGGGGAATTAAACAAATTTATTTGGCACATCGAGCAGCGACCCGGCAACAGCGTAACTTTATTTTGGACAATAAGACGAGACGGTGACTCTGTTCCCTTCTACAACATTGCCAGCCTGCACAGAGCCAGTCCAGTCCTTGGCTGGCTTCAATTTATTAACACTTTTCTCGCTCGTGTTTCAATTCCCGGTCGGTGACGTTGACTGCGTGACTGCTTCGCTGTGCCTGCAGTTGACCCGTCGCCTTCAGACATTAGATAACAATTCTCTTCCGCTTAAATGCAGCCAAATCCTTGTCGCGTCGGCCTAAAAGTAGTTGACGGACGGACTAACGTCAATTTTCCAATTTTTAGCATGCGAATGCAGCACGAATGCCGAGTCCAGCTGCAGTCCGAATTAGACGAACGTTGCCCGTTTTTAATTAAAAAGGTCAGAGCGGGTTCAATTTATGCTGATGTCGCAACGAACTAGCAGCGACTAGCAGCCTATTTGCAATTGAGAGAAAGACGTTTTAGCTACCTCAGCAACAGCAGCAGCAACAGCAGCAGCAACAGCAGCAGCAACAGCAGCAGCAACAGCAACAGCAACAGCGGCAGCAGCAGCCCCATAGAGTTGTCCGATACTTACCCACTCTAAGTGCAGCTCCAGTTGGAATTATTGTAGCTCGCTGACAGTTCCCTGTTCTGACACTTTGACAAATGCTGTTGCCCGCCACAAATCGTTAATCTCAATACACAAGGCCCACAACAATTGGCTGGCCAATTAAGCAGGCAACTACACACAAGAGATGAGCTCAAGTCCAATGTAGAACTCATCCTCTAAAATGAATCAAAAATTACATTTGCTATATTTTAAGGTTAAAATTATTTGGGGCGAAACAAAAGTAAACTTAGTAATGTGACACCATTTTATTTAATTAGCATTACTTAGCAACATCTTGTCTAATAAAGATAATAATCGAATAATCGAAGTCTTAAGAGATATATCTTCGCAGCTGTGTTTTAATCGTTGTATGGGCTCTCATCTCTAACTACTCCAAAATGCAACCAACTGCTGCGAGGAACTGGTCTTTGTGTTACGGTCGCTTTGCATTTGTTTGGCTGGTTCCGGCCCGTTGCCTGGCAATTGACATGATGATTTCGGGTACAAATTTTCAGTTCGATGTTGTGGTCAGCAGTTGGAGGAGCAGCAGCAGTGAGCAGGGAGGAGGGATTGACGCCGATGTGCCGTGGGTTTCATTCATACATTGGTCGGGTGCATGTTTTGCTCACGTAATTGACAACAACAATTGACAATCGCCTCCAATGGCAATGCCTCGATGGTTTTGCTTATGCTCCTGTTTGCACTGTTGTTGTTATTGCTGCTGCTGCTGTTAATATTGTTGCTGGTGTTGTTGGCCTGTCATTATCCTGGAGCACACCGTAACAAAAAGAATTGCCGTGTGGTGTGTGCCTTTTGCCAGCCGTCTGTTGACCACCTGCGGTGCTAAAACTAAACATTTTCAGCATTCACATTGTTGTTGCTGATGTTGTTGCTGTTGCTGTTGCTTTTTCTGTTAGTGTCGTCTGTAAAATATGTTGCGCCATGTTGACTGCGACATGCAACTCAGCAATTGCCAGCCAGCCATTCAATTGCATTATTTATTAATCGAATGCTGTTGACACTGCACCACTTGCCAAAACATTCAAAACATACAAAACATTTAGCGCAGCATACGTTGATTTTAACAGCGGCTAGTACACAACCGAGATTATCAAATACCTGCGAGCTTTTCCTCAAATATTAAAACAGAAAACTTTTTTCGGTGGCAGCTTCGAAAAGCTAATTTCCATTAGTTGGTAAGTTTCTATTTCACTGGATATAATCCTAGTCTCATTTAGAGATTAAAAACCGAGTTTAAGGTATATGAAAAATAGAAAATCGCTTGCCCTGAAGCCAGCGACAAATATATTCAGATTTTATTTATTTATTTATTGCAAACTATATAAATCTTAACATTAAAAAACATTTTATATTAATTAAATGCTCAGCGCAGTTTTTACTGATTTATCAGAATAATTTATAAGCGGGTAGATTTTAAATACAGAATTTGTAGATAACAATATTAAAACATATTTAAGCATTATAATTTCAAAATGTTATTATGTTAATGATGATTGTTTTTTATGAGTCTTAAACAGCCTTATAAATTGTATATTTAGAATAAATGTCATTTAAGCTATGCATTTTTTGTGTGTTTTGTGATGTGAGTAGCTGAGAGTACAAAATATATCTTTATTACTTATTTTCTCTATGTGAATACAGTAATCTCATACAACGATTGATAATGCAAGCAAATATTCTGATTGCATTCGCTAAATATTTTATAACATATGCAATAAAGCATGCCGCGACACGACCGCTTTAAGCCAAAACCAACAAAGAGGTTTTTATTGTAATGAATTCGAATGGGTCATAAAAAGAGGCTTCACCGCCTGCCCCGGACCGACGTTGAACACATTCCAAATTCGGTAGCCCCATCGGCAAAAATATGAATATCCATTCAATCAAGCAGCAAAAACAAGAACCATATCTGGTAAAAATATGTCCGGTCATTAATATCGATGGATTACATGCGTCGAGTATTTACGGATATGTCCGTTGTGCCTTAAAAAAAAAGGAAAACAAATCGCAGGCAGATGCAACATAATCAGACTAGCGAATATTAGATGCTCTTTAAATTGTAATCTGTTTTCATTTAAGTAATAAATAGCTTCGTTAAGCGCAAATTATATTAAATGTAGCTCAATCCCTGTTAAACTATAACCTTAAAACTGTACATAACCAAGTTGGTAACAAACTTGCTTTAAGAACACAACAGTTTTATATAAATAAATATACCGAAATATTATTCTTTGCAGTAACACCAAGATTTCAAAACAATATGGAAATGAGAATTTCATTCTTTAATTTTGTATGTCCAATCGTATCAGAATTTTAATATCGTTTGTTCTTAATATGAGTGCAAAAGTTTCTACACCCTACAGTTGAATACTGTGAATTTTAAAGCCGATCTCCTTTACAGATGGTGACTGTGTGGTAGGTGCGGGTAGAAAGGAAGGGAAGGATTTAGTATCTGCGACAAAATCACCTCAATTAATTTAATTAGTCTGCGGTTGTTGTGCATTTAGCAGCCGGCGCACGATTCCCAGCTGCCCGGTACCCAGTTCGTTCTGATTGATATTCTTTTATTTTGGCGACTGCTGACTCCAAAAGTTTTAATGCGCCCCACATCGATAAAGGTGGAGAAAGGAGGGGGTGGCGTTGGGAGCTGCAGGGACCAAATCGAGTGCACAGCATGACGAACCGCGATGCCCAAACTGACCGCCGCCAATGATTAATGCGTGTACCCCGTTGCTCGCTGGACTGGGTTTATGAAAATCAGTGATAAACGTTTGATAAACGATATTGAACAGCGAGTGACATTTGACAGTTGGAAATGCAGTCCCAAAACGAGACGTGCTGGGATCATTGCCTACCCGACATCATCTTCATCGCACGTACATAATTAATGCTGCCCTATGCTCCATGAAAGCACTTCACTCAGTTTTATGGCATTTATGGCTTACAATTTTTCGATTTTTAGTTGAAGCTTTAAAGTATCCGAAATCGTATTCTTGCTGAGATTTTTATTACATCGCCATTCAAGCTTCGATTGTATTTTTTATTTAAAAATGTAAACAAGTCCATTGA